TAAGATAAGTAATTCAAGGCGTCACCAACTTGACAGAATCCTAAATAGCACTCACTTAGGTGGCTGATGAAGTGTTGGCCAACAAGAACTGTTGGTTGCTCATCAGGGACGAATGAACCACCATGCCTTTCCCTGCCTTACCGTACCTTCTTGCGCCACATTCTAATGTATTTCAACATGTGCCCCACGCCCTGTCTTCCCATGCAGGCGGCATGGGTCGTCTCATCCGTGCTGTGCGAGTCCTCGCCAAGCTCACCAGAATGGTGCGTGCTGCTGCGCTGGAATGATCGGACTTCCTGCAAGTGTGGTGGGAGACTGGGTTGTGCTTGCCTGGATGGTGTATGCTAGCGTGGATGAATAAATGGGATGCACCTGCATGGTATTGTTTGAGCCCTCACCAAGCTTCCCACCCTCCTTCCCACCCTCCTTCCCACCCTCCTTCCCACCCTCCTTCCCACCCTCCTTCCCACCCTCCATCCCACCTTCCTTCCCACCCTCCTTCTCACATTTCGTCGCACCTTCCTTCCCACCCTCTTTCCCACCCTCTTTCCCACCCTCTTTCCCACCCTCTTTCCCACCCTCTTTCCCACCCTCTTTCCCACCCTCTTTCCCACCCTCTTTCCCACAATCTTTCCCACAATCTTTCCCACCCTCTTTCCCACCCTCTTTCCCACCCTCTTTCCCACCCTCTTTCCCACCCTCTTTCCCACCCTCTTCCCACCCTCTTTCCCACCCTCTCTCCCACCCTCCTTCCCACCCTCCTTTCAACCCCCTTATTTATCCTCCTTCATCTGCTTTTTTGTTTCTCAGCACTGGTGCTAATGCTGGAATACTCAATTTGCTGCTCCTGTCGTTGCTGCCTCCCCCCTTACTGACCTTGCTTCTCTTCTTCCTGACTCTTCTTCCTCCTGTGTCCGTCTTCGATTCCATGTTTACAGGAGAAGTGGATAGACAACCTCGTCAATGCCCCTTCCGTCGAGACCCAGTATGAGATCTGGTCAGTACCCTGCGGTGCAGTGCAATGCAGTGCAGTGCGGCGTTGTGCAGTGTTTTGAGGTGCCGTGTGGCTCCATGCTCTGCGATGTTGCATGTGCTGAGCTAACGCCAGCAAAAATCCTTTTCAGATTCTGAGATATACAGGACCAACACCATGCTCCCCTCCCTCCATTCCGTCCCACTCCCTTCACTCACACCCACAGGACCAACTCGATTGGCCGATGGCTCACGAGGGCCAACATGTTTGCGCGCATCTTTGGCTTCTTCTTCACCAACCGCGTGGTGCTCTGGTTCTGCGCCGGCATCGCCCGCGGCCAGCTGCGCCTCATCCGCAAGGAGGACAACGTGTACCGCTATGTCGTCCGATGCCTCGACTCCGTGGCAGAGACCACTTCCCTGCGTGACAGGTGAGGCTCCTGGCTATTGTGCATGGGGCAGGAGGGAGGGTGGGTAGAGCAGGGGGCAGCTGCGCCTCATCCGCAAGGAGGGCAACGTGTACCGCTCTGTCGTGCGCTGCTTGGACTCAGGGGCTGAGACCACTTCTCTTCGTGACAGGTGAGGCTTGTGTGGCGTCCTGTGGTTAGTGTATGGCTGTTGGACATACTGGGGGTGGGGAGGGCAGGGGCTAGCTGCGCCTCATCCGCAAGGAGGACAACGTGTACCGCTACGTTGTGCGCTGCTTGAATTTGGTGGCAGATGCCACTTGCCCCGGCAGGTAAAGGTTGAGATCGTGTACCACTGGGCCCGCGCTGCCCTTACTTGGTGACAGGTGAATACAGTGACGGTTGGTGTAGTGTGCGCAAGCGGAGAGAACGTGTGTCACTGCTATATCGTGCACTGCTTGCACTTTGTGGCTGAAGCGTTGCCCCCTTCTCTCTTTCTCCCCCCCTTCCCCCCCCCCCCCCCCCCCCCCCCCCCCCCCACAGCAACTACTTCTACCGCTGCTGCCTGACGGGCCAATTCTCACGCAACTGCTGCCCGCGCTTCCTGCAGGAGCCCTGCTTCAACAAGCTCAAGGTGGTTATGGGCTAGGGACCTTATGTGGGGGGCACAGGGCTTGGGATGACTCTCACGTGCTAGGCAAGTCAGGCGGGTGCAACTGCTGCCCGCGCTTCCTGCAGGAGCCCTGCTTCAACAAGCTCAAGGTGGGTACATGGCGCAGGGCTTGAGGTTCAAACGTTAACCAGGTCTTATGGTGTAGGGGATATTTTTCTAAGCAGGGTTTGATGTCGAGGGATAGAGGCAAAGCATATGCTCATGGTAGGATTAGGATCTATGTGGGGAGGCCTGTTTTGTGGTGAAACGAGCAGCCCTTGCCTTCATGCTTCTTCACACCAAAGCAGGGTTGATTCACTCAGCTTGCCCTCCTGCCACTCTTCAGCCTTCTACTTGCATGCGTCCAAGCCTGGCCCTAATCTCCTCATGCTTCTCATGCATCTCCTTCCGCTAATGCCTCTCCTGCCGCTCACCTCTCATTTCCCGCTCCCGTGTGCTTCTCGTCCCCTATCTCACCCCCTCTACTGCCTCTTTCTCACCTCTGGAACTACCCTCTCGGCAAACATTCCTGTTGGAGTAACAGACGGAGCTTGCCGCCCGGGACTGCATGCTGATCTCGACGTCCTTCTTTGTGGAAGAGCTGCGAGCGCGCATGTACACCAAGGTGTGTTCGCGTTGTTACGATTATATGTGTGGCCATGGCATGTACACCAAGGTGTATTGCAGTTTGTCTTCAAGCCGTGGACAGACCAGCTCATTTTTTCTAACTATGCGGATTTGTTCCTTTCAAAGATGAGTTTGAAGCTTAGGGAACAGCTTGCCAGACTGCTGAATCTCTGACTCCTCTCTACTCTCACCTACGGACCCCATTCCACTGTTGAATTAGTGCTCTTCACTTTGTTGTTCTGCTCGCACCGCTCCTCATCCCCTCCTCACCTTCCCTCGCCTCACCCCTCAATCGCCTCACTCTTGCTTTCCCCACTCCCCACTCACCTCCCCAATTCCTGCCAGGTCATTCTGATGGACCATGTGGATTGGCTGGGGCAGCGTGACATTGACACGCTCTGCGATTTTTCCTTATATTAACTAACTCATCTCTGGCAATTCTACCCTATCGCTGCTCGCCTCCCCCACTCCCCGGCAGGTCATTCTGATGGACCACGTGGATTGGCTGGGGCAGCGTGACATTGACACGCTCTGCCAAGCACTCAGGGACCAAGTCAAGGTGAGTCCAGGCAGCAAGGGTTTCAGGTTTGTGTAAGGTTGAGAGCAGTTAAGCCATGAGCCCAGTCATTGGCTTGTGAGGCACTAGTTCCCAATTTGCGTCCCATCACTCCCCTGCAGGAGCTTGTTTCCACTACGTGCATATATTCTGCAGATCAGTGCATCTCTCTAGTCAACATTTCTTCCTCTCCCCAGTGGCGCCTATCTTTGTGTTCAACCCTTTCCACTTCTTTCTCCCCATTCCTTTCATCTTTGTTTCCTCCCACCATCCTCTGCAGCCTGGAGGCCGTGTCATCTGGCGCAGTGCGTCGCGCAACCCCGAGTATGCCAAGGACATCGAGAAGGCTGGATTCAAGGGTAAGAGCTGGAGAGTGTGGCGTATGACTTGAAAGGTATGTCGCATGGTGCAGTGTGTATTATGGAACCCCGAGTATGCCAAGGACATTGAGAAGGCTGGATTCAAGGGTAAGAGCTCGAGAGTGCTTTCTTTGGGGTATGACTTAGGGGCAAGCTCACTGGGATGTTGAGGTGACCAAGAAGTTCCTTTCTTCCTCCAGCATTTCACGATCAGCCCCATCATGTTCCCCCTCCCTCACCCTCCCCAACCCCATCCCAAATCCCATCCTCTCCCAACTTCCTAGGTCCCCCCTTAGCTATCATCTAAATTTTGCCTTTCTCCTGCCCTTCCAATGGCAGTGGTGCAAGTGCGCTCCATCACACAGCAGCAGTACATGGACCGAGTCAACATGTACGCCAGCTTCTACGTCGCAATCCGCAACGGAGGCCCCGAGAACATCCAGATCTTCAATGAGCCGCCCAACCCTCTTGCCCTCACCAATGGCACTGATGCTGCTGCCCCCACCGCTAGCTCCTGATTCTTGGATGAAGCCTCTCGCTTTTGACTCAAGGTTGAATAGGAATCGTAAGTTGTATTGTTAACGCGCATACCGTGGATGTACTTCTCAAGGTTTTGAGTCAGAGTGTACTATCATAATCAAGAATGATCATTATCGATATGTTTTTGAGAAATGAGAAAAATGAACAACAGCAGCAATCATACGCATTCATAGTGTATACGCTCCCAGTACTCCACGCGTACAGCATCATTGCAAGCAATCCATGACACGACCCAGAAGTGAAGGAAAGGGGGGTGTGTTGCTCCTCTGTTGCAGCAATTTGTGATTTCGAGCGTGCCGAAATCCAATTCGTCAATGAAATTGGTTCGTCGCACATGTCTCGACCACGTAGGCATTTTGAAATATTCCAACCAATCAGTGATCTAAAATGACCGCACCCATCATTGAACATAGTTGCGCTTCGACACGTCACAGTCGTTCACGAACTACGCAAACATTTTGATAGGCGCGATACAGCGGCTTGGACATTCTTCCCGCCCAAATCCCAGGTGAGTGCAGGAAGCAGTGCTGCTGTATTCCTCTTGTCTTACAGGCGAAGGAATTCGCCCCGCTGACGATGCACCAGCAACAGCTGTCCATATATAGTAGGCTCAATGGCATACTGCTCATTCATCTCAATCATCCACCTCAAGCCACTGAATCTTTACTAGCTTCTAATTCCAAATATTTGCAAACGGAATATCTGATACCCGGTTTCTGAAAGTGGTGGTGCTGATCTCCCCCGTAAGTCTCAAACATGGCTCTCGCTCTTTCCCACCCAGCTTCCGCTCTACTCGGAAGCTCCGCCAAGTCGACGATTTCGCTAATTGGGGAACGGAACCTTGTTAATAGATCACTCCCCGCTGCTGGCATGCCGTTCGTCCGCTGTCAAGCGCCGCCCACCGCAGTCGCGCCATCTCCCACTGTCGCACGAGCCCCTTCCGTCGCACGCGCGCCCCCCGTCGCACGAGCGCCCACCGTCGCACGACCGGCCACCGTCAAGCCAGCGCCCACCGCACGACCGGCCACCTTCAAACCAGCGCCTACCGTGTCGTCATCGCCCACCATCGCGCCGTCATCCGCCGCCTCGGCGCCAACCTCGGACACCATGGTCGCTGTATCGGCGCCGTTTTCCACGCGACGCGCCGAACGTGCGGAGCCAACCTCCGAGTCGCCATCGTCTGCAATCTCGCCATCGTCCGCTATCTCGCCATCCTCCTCCGCGATCCCCGCGCCCCGCACCAAGCAGCACAGTGCGTAATATATTTTCGAAGCTCGTCGTCTGGCGTTAATGACTGGTTGAATTCGCGGTCAGTACTCCTACCATTGCCCCGTTTGCATCTCCCTCCGTCGTTGCTTACCGTCGTTTTTACTTCATTGCAGAAAAATCGCCATCGTCCGCGCGCCGCCGGAACGTACCCACAAGCTTCGCTCCACCGCCCGCCGCGCTGCGATCCGGAGCAGCCATGGCGGACTGCCTCATGTCGTACAGCCGCATGCTTCACCTCATGCCCGGCCGTAGCCGCGATCTCGTCGCCGCCGGTGCCGGCGTCTTGGCGCACGTGTTGGAGTCTCTGCGGACCCTGCTCGATACGAACCAGGTACGTGCTCCCTCGCTTGCTGTGATTGTTGCGTGACGTTGATTTGTTTTCGGGATGATTGGGTGACATTCCTACGGACGCTGTTCATGGGTTTCTTTGAATTCACCCGCCGATTCTCCGTTTGTGATTTGCTTATGCTCTACAGGTGAAGGGGGTGGAAGCCGAGCGGCTGCTATTTGAGGTGGAGAGGGATTTGGGCTGCCTGCAGTTCGAACTTGCCGTGTCTCCTGAGGCCTTCCCCGTGCAGACAGTGCGCTTGCAGTGCGCACACGCTGCCCGTGTTCTCCGCTCCGTGTGAAGTAGATTTAGGAACTTGCGTTCGCGAGATAGGGAAATGAGGAATGCAAGAAAAAAAAGAATCATCTCGGGTTTGTGTAATATATCGTGTACAAATTCTGTACATAGTCTTAATATTATGACTCTTTTAATGAATGCTTTTCTGTTGGTATATTCGTTCAACAAAATCATCTCTCTTGGTAACTTGGTTGTAAAAACAGCCATGGCAGCACCAGAATATGATTGTACACAATGCACATGATAACTATAATATTTTCTGAGCTCAGTACGTCAGCCTGGAACTAGTTCACAAACGTACAAGAATATATATATAAACCAGCAATCTGCAATGAACAAATTAAACGCCCTACTGTGATTACCAAAAAACTTGGAAAGACATGATGTTGACTTCCAACATAGTTACCCAGTTACAAACCCCTCAAGGTCAAGTCGTGGATCTCCCTCCTCAATCATATCATCCTCGTTCATCAGAAACCCAAACTCGTTCTCCTTGCTCGCCGCCCCTGAGCTGCGTCTCAACCGAGAGTTCTCCTCCTCGTTGATGCTCGACGCCCGCCGAGACAGCGGCTCACCCTCCGACCCAACCCCCCTGACACCGCTCCCCTCTCCTCCCTTGCTGCTGCTTCGAGAAAGTGACGAATTGGTTTTCTTAACCGGAGGGTCGTAAGAGCTCGAGGGTTCTCCAGTAGGAGATTGAAGAATAGCTGCATTTGGATCGTCGTCCAGGTCATGGCGAATGCTCACACAACTGTCTCTCCCTTGATTCTAGAGGCGGCGGCGGCAGCAGCAGCGGCCGCTGCAGCAGCAGCAGCTGCTGCTGCTGCCGCTGCCGCTGCTGCTGCACCTGCTGGCGTATCGGTAGACTCAGCCGCCCCTGCTGCTGCAGCAGCACCAGCAGACCCTCCAACTGCCACCCCACTGATCAACCCCCCAGCAGAAGAAGCAGAGGCGTCAGCTGCTGCAACAGACCCACCAACAGCACCTGTAGCAGCAGCTGTAGTGGCACCAGCGGCACCCGCAGCAGCGCCGGGAGTGATGGAGGCGAAGAGGTTGGCAAAGCGGCGCTCTGAGGCGGTGGCTTCGGCTGTGAGGAGTCCCGTGCGGCCCGAGCTGAAGGTCTGCCTCATGCTACGCGCATTCTCCATCTCCTTGCCTGAGGGGGGAAGGATTGCACGTGGGGGTCGGGAGATGTGAGTGGAAGAGGTGAAAGGGAGTCGGGGTAAGGTCTAAAGAAACCGAATATAGAAGGGGGCGAGCACAGGATATAGGCCCCTTGGAAAATAGTGGGAAGCAACTAAAAAACAAGGGATTTCTTCTAGACCCAGTATATTACAGAAGAAGGCCATACCTGCTGGAACGAAGGTGCGGGTGCGGTAGTGCTGCGGCTTGTCCTGCGACCCATCGCTGTACAGCACATAGTCATGGTACGTTGGAGCGAACTGGTGAACCGTGTCGCTCACCACATCCCCCATATTGACAGAATGCTTAAACGCGGAAATCAGCGCACCCCTCTGCTCCTCAGTCATATTCGCCAGGCCCAACCCTGGCGATGAGGAAGATGATAACTCCCTGCATGAGAGGGATTTGGGAGCGGCCGTGTGGGAGGGGGAGGGGAAGATTATATGGTTAGATGGGTATGATATGGTATGGCAACGAGGAAGGTGATGATGCTGTGAATGGAAGGGATATGGAGGAGTGTTGAGGGAGGGGGGACGGGGAAACTGGGATGGGGGAACGATGGCTACTCAGCCGTGATTTAGGCGATGAGAAAAGATGCTATGCCAGACGAGAAACGGACGACTGATTCGACCATGAAAGACTCGATCGCGGGGGGAAAGGGAAAAATGGGAGAAGGAACTTGGGAACGAGAGGGAGAGAGAGGGGTGGGTGGGGAAGGTTGGGAGAAGGTTTCGGGGTGGAAGAGTGGGGTGGGAAGGGGTGTACATGCCAGTACGTGAGGAAGATGACGGCCATGAGCATGACGAACTTGGGGATGGGGTTGAAGGCGAAGGAGAGAGAAAGGGGAAAAGGGAAATGAGAAGCGGGAGGGGGAAAGTTGGGGTTGGAAGAAGGGGGGGAGGGGGTAGTTTCAGGGATAAGAGGGGCGTACCTGCCAGTAGGTGAGGAAGACGACGGCCTTGATCATGAGGAACTTGGGGATGGGGTTGAAGGCGACGGAGAGAGAAAGAGGTAAGGGAGAAATGGGGAGGACGGGGGCGCGGGGGGGGGGGGTAGGTTGGTGTTGCAGGGATAGGAGGGGCGTACCTGCCAGTAGGTGAGGAAGACGACTGCTTTGATCATGAGGAACTTGGGGATGGGGTTGAAGGAGGTGAGGAGGTCCTTGCAGGCGACGTAGAAGAGGATGAGCGCGTAGATGGCGATGGAGTAGGAGATCATGTACACGCACGTGATGTACAGGTACGAGTCAAACGCGCTGAAGTTGCCGTCGTTGTACAGCCCGTACGAGTAGAGGATGAGCGAGAGCGCCGCCAGGATGGGTTTGAGGAACACGAACTGCAGGCAGCCCTGCTTGCAGCGCCGGATGAATCGGCTGGAGGGGAGAGGAGGGGGAGGGTCCGGGGGTGTTGGGGGGAGGTTGAATGGGAGAAAGAGACGTGAGAATTCAGAGTCGATACTGAGGTCACTACGGAGAATGGGACGACGGGAGACAAGGAGACGAACCGGTGTTCATCCAAGTGTGGTGGACACCGAACTGGTGGACGGAAGGGATGCACGCAACGCTTGCACAAGTGAAGTGACTCTCGAGAAATCTCTAAAGTAATTTTCATGTTTCTGGTGGATGGAAGGGATGCACGCAACGCATGCACAAGTGAAGTGAACCCAAATCAGCTTGCGGCCATCCGAAGAATTGAAGCGCACAACCTACCCGTGCGGGTGCCGTGCAAGTCACCCGCGCACTAGGCAGCAGCTTACCCGTCGAGCGGCATGGGAGGCAGGCAGCAGGTGCCGAGAACGATGGACGGCTTGAGCACGCGACCAGCGAGCACAAAGCTCAAATAGTGACTCCAAAATAGCCTACTCATGCGATTCCCCCTTGCCTCCCATTCCCCGCTCCCATCCCCCCGCGCGCGCTAGCGAGCGGCTTACCCGTCGAGCGGCATGGGAGGCAGGCAGCAGGTGCCGAGAACGATGGACGGCTTGAGCACGCGACCAGCGAGCGACGTCACGACCACTCCGGGACCCCCCACCCACGCCAGACACAGCGACAGGAAGTTGTAGATCACCCATGCCTCATAGCTGGGGTTGATTATAAGGGGTATAAGAACAAGTCACGGGGACGAAGTTACGAATTGAGAAAGGCGAATGGACAGCGAGAAAGCGGAGAGAAATACGGCAACTTCGGTATTGACTTTAAAAAAGGAAAATATCAGAGGTGCTTGACATCTACAGAATGAACAAAGATCCAAAGGTAACCAGCAGGATTGTTTCACTTACACGTCTCGGATGGTGTTGAAATACATCGCGTACTCGCTAAAAGCTAGCGCGAAGAATGACATGGTCGCATACACCTGCAGAATTCAACCAAAGCCCCATTGATTAAGCCGTTAGCGCGAGGCAGCAAACGGTTTGGTTTGAAGTAGTCTGAAGTGCAACACAAGTAAATCTGCAACGGGAACCAATCCCTTCATAACACTATGATTTAGGAACCGACATGCTGGTTTGAGCTGGGATCAGCAAGACACAGAGTTTCCCAAGACTTACTGGAACCATGAAAATGATTCGGACGATGTACCGTTGAAACGTCGGCTCCGTATAATTCTGTAGATGTTGGATAATATGCCGTACGGATAAAAATACAGCTACGAGGGTGCATACTAGGGCTATAATTACCCCAACGAACCATAGTACCCAATCCATAGGCGCCAACTAGAAGAACGTGATGGAGAGAGTAGGATGACTGGATCACAGAGAAACGTCCTACGCTTGCCCTGACAAGGTGGGCCGACAATGGCGAACACGGCTCGAAACTAGGATGCACACTTCATCGCAAGTTCATCCTAACTCGCAACACCAAAGAAGAATCCTTGGAGTAACAGATTCAGGTGCCTGTCTGCTTCAGACCACTTGAGCGGACCGAAACCAGACCTAAACTACGGATACGATGAGAGTAAGTTTGCTCAATACAGCTCGACTGATAAAAATACTGACGTTAACTGGCCTAAGGCCTCTAAAACAGGGTCCAGAACAGAACACAGCAGGTGGCGATTCTCACGACGCCTTGCTAAAAATCTGGAGAACCTAGGGATTCAGGCAAGACTGATTGATGCAGCTGAAAAGCAGTAGCGGAATACGAAGATGGGGAATGGGGATGGGGGAGGGAGGCGAGAAAAGCAAGGCACCCAGGAGGATGGGATTGAAGGGACACAGAAGACTGCAGGCGACACGTCCGAGGCTCATCCGAGGCTCTTCCAAAGCTCTCCCAGGGCTATTCTCAGAGGTCCCTCAAACTTGTCGAAGCAATTTTGAGGTTCCGGTGAGCGCGGTGTGACAGGCGGACGCGGTGGGTTGCGGCGATAGGCAGGATGACGAAACACGCCGAGCACAAATGCTCGTAACGCTAAACCATGTGTGCGAAGGCATGACGAGGAAGTAACGTTTCGCAAATTTCAATGAACACTTCACGAAATGTCAGTCTCAAGGTTGTTGCAGAAGCCGGCACAGGAAACCAACGGCCATGTGGAGCGCAGACAGTTCATCATACAATCTACGCGAGGGTGGGTGGTTGTTGCATGGTTTCGTGTGGTCTGAACGGCGGACCTAGGTAGCACCGCCACAAACTCGCCAAGCTTACCGTTGGAGTTTGTCTTCAGTTTAATAGTCATCGATTGCGGCCAGGGTGGGGTTCAAAGTGTACAAGAACCTGAGTAAACTGCGCAGTCTAATTACGCGCAATCATGAACAGAAAGACAGCCTACCGGTATATTTTCCGTCCTTATCCAAATATATTTGATTGAACATAATACTTATGAACGCGAACCGCGGAATACATTTCTGTAGAATTGTTTCTTTCTAGTTCTGTTTCCGGAGAATTACCACTGATTAATAGATTTTGCACTAAATATGCTGGATGAAATGCCACTGGCATACTTCTGAATCGAAGCAAAGCTTTAGTGAATCCCCTGTGGACGTGTTTCTATACCAGAGCAACCAGGACAGAACCCGCATACGAAAACTACGCTCCACGTCGGCCCGCACCCACAGCCACGTAGGTAGCGCCTCGCCAGGTTGGCAGCGCAAATGCACCAGGCCTAGAATTGTGAATTTCTAATGTGCAGGCAGCTTCCCTTCGGCATTCGAATGCCGATTCACGCAGGCTGGGAGCAAATTCACGCAGCCCGAGCTCCGATCCAGAACCAAGTGACAGAGGGAGGGAGACAGCTGCATCCCCTCCCTCCCATGCTGAAGAGAAGATATTTCACTTCCCACGAAATTACCGTGTTCGCGTCGCACAACTCCAGTTGTCCCTCTGTGTCGTGTCACGTTCATTCACCTCCAATATTCGCAGCCGCAGCAGCTGCACCTCTCGCTTCCTTCCGCCGCACTCTTGCGAGTCGCGGAGCTCTCGGGCTCGGCGCTTGACTCAATAAAAAGAGGCTCCGCCTCCTTTTCATTAATCAAAGCCGAAAATCACTCTCCTACTCTCAGATATTTCCCGCTCCTCTTCTAGCATCAGTTCGTGATACGTTTGTGCAATCAATCCACGCTCTACGACATGGCTCTCTCGTGCAACCAGGCTGCAATCCTGTCCTCCGCCGTTCTCCAAAATGGCCTGACCACAGCATCCCCCGCGTCGCAGCTGAAATCACGAACACTCATTGCACGTGCACTTCCTGCAGTCAGGGCTGAAGCTGCACCCGCCGCCGTCAACCGACCCGAGTCGAATGTCCCCGCCACCCCCGTGCTGCCGTCCGGCGCATCCATGGCGGATTTCCTCGTTACGTTCAGCCGGACGCTGAACCACGCTCCCGGGAACGGCAAGAGCATCGCCGGTGCCGGTCGGGCTCTTCTTTCCCGCGTGCGGAGCGGCATCAGCGATCTTGGCATGGATGTCGACGTGGAGTCGCAAGTGCGGCGACAGTTGCGTGTCGCAGAGGCCGAGCGACTGCTTCTGGCGATCGAGAGCAACCTTGTGGCAATCGCCGTCGACACGTCTCTGGACTCAAACAGCGTTCCCGTGCAGCTGCTTCGCATGCACTGCGCCCAGGCGGCCAGGATTCTTAGAGTGCTGTAGAGTACCGTCATCACGGCTTGTACTTATTAGCTAGGTATTCACTCCCTTCACGTGTGCATACGACGGGGTTCGAAGGGCTTGGCCTTACCAGCCTTCGGGGCAGCGTTTTTTGCTGTTATGGATTCCATGTATCCAGCCAGTTCAAATCACCCATTTGTTCCATTTGTGTCACTAGTCCAAATTTCCTTAAAATTTCCACACAGTATTTCCAACTGAAGCAAAGTACGGCCCGTCAACAGCTGGGGATGGAGAAAGGTAGGTGACGACAATATTTTATCAGGAATTTATACCATACTTTCTGCTTTGTTGTCCCACTAGCTGTGCTGCATGACTAACTCCGTAAGAATGATAGTAGGAAAATCACTGAATGCCACGCATTTGTTTGCCATTACTATGCCATGCATCGGAATGCGCACTGGATGGAGTGAAATTCTCAAAATTCGCTGTATTAGGACTGGAAACACCTGTAGACGCAATACATAATCAGGTCAGTGTTCGAACATAAATATGGTGACACCGCTGTTGTTTACAAATGGCAGCTGGTGGGTTGTACCAAGTGTTCAGTGTAACATATCGGGTTTGGCCAGGTGTCGGTGAATGCGCTGAACAACCTGGAGAAACCTGATGCATCCGCCTGCGATGGCGGAGGAAGCGGGTTTGACCTTCGCAGCCAATTGAAAGGGCTCACCAGGTACAAATTCCAAGGTTCCCGTTTCGTCCTAATTCCACCAATAGGGGACCCAGCTGTCAGGTCGCACCAATCGGTCGTTTTGGGCGGTCGGCTGCCACCGTCAAGTTTCTCCACAGCCACCTGAACCCAATTTCAGCCGTCAGTGCATTTTTCGCCCGCAATGGCCGTCCTTCAAATGCACATGTGAGGAGGGGACCTTTTTCCTCCCCGTACTTTTCGTCGCCCCGCCCGATTCATCCCTCCCGAATTGCTGCTGCACCAGCCTCGAGTCACTCACCACACACAGGAAATCAGCCACGATGTTGGACTTAGTTTCCAGAAACAACGTGTGATCAGTGATAAGTGATTGCCTCTTGAACAGTAGTGCTTCGTACTTTGTAGATCGTACTTTGTAGAAGGCGTAAGGGCCATAGCATCCCTGCGAGACTTCTTTCTGAGCTCTTCTGATCAATTTAGTATCGTTTTCGAGTCCCGTCAAATCCGCCATGTTGGAACGGCAAACTCATATTGTCAGGCACACGGCACTAGGCGTCTTCCTCCTCGTTGTATGCATCTCCAGAGTCGCGGCGTTGAGACGAGTGTTGAATGAGGCACCTCCCATCTTTGACGGCGCAACGGAGCTTCAAAAGGTTCGCGAGGCTCTTCGATCGGCGGGTTACACGGAATTCCTCGAACGGCTCAACAACCCTCGTGCGTTCCTTCACCTCCCGCAGATTTTTATTTCCAGACTGAGTTCCCATTTTTAAGCGATAACGTCCGCCTTGCACCCCTTATCCCCTCTTGTGTCCGTTTTCAGAGGTACTGAATGCAATTCGGCCCGCGCTGAATCACTATCAGCTCACCATATTCGCCGTACCGAACGACGCCATTCTCGGCGCGGCAAACGGCACCGCCGTCCCTCCCGGCTGCGCCCGTGCCGTGTCTGCCACGAGAAGATCGGGGTCTCCTTCGGACCTTATGAGCGCCAGCATGTCTTCGCACATCGTTCTCGGCCATTTCACAGCAGAGGACATTATTGACTCACCTGATGGCACGAAGGTAAGGAGTTTCGGCTGCATTGATAACGTTTGGCGAATATTGTATTCATGGTGGAGTTTCACGTCCGTTTGCGTGCTTTATGATTCGTGTGTTTGCAGTTCGGAGACATCAAAGGCTATGAATCAAATTATGTGAAGAAGTTTCACATAATTAGCAGGGACATCAAGGGCACTCTGAGAAAGCATGTCACGCTTACAAACCCTCATGCAGGCAGCAGACAAATTCCACTAATCTCCCATGATTTGTTTCTCGACCAACATGTGTCCATTCAAGGACTTGATGGCATTATGTGCGGACCAATTCCTCTAAGAAGCAGCTGAGAAGAAAATCTAGTCACTCTATATGGAAGTGACATGTACTAGCTATTAAGAATTATCATGTTCACATGAGTTATGTATGTTCTCTACCTTTTTATACTCGTGTATCATGTGAACAATAATTGTTAGGCTGCTACAATTTTATGAGTGTTTGGCACTGAACTATATAGCAAGCGACATTAACGTAAACGGAGTTACGGCGAACCTGGCTTGAAGATCTTGGCTCGACTTCTTCTCGGCTCGGATTGCCCCGTCAGCACGCTTCCACGTTTCGCGCCACTAGCACACCAGCAAACGAAGCCCAAAAGCTATCTGCCACAGCACTGCTCTCACGAGCCTCCATCCCTCCAACCATAGAGCAGACAGGCACATGCAAGCTCACTTATCGAGCCCATCCCCGCCAAACTTTCGTACGTTCGGGCCGAACGAGGTAAACAAATCGTGCCGAAGCACAGATTGCAAGGCTCGTTTTGCGGAATTCTCAAGGAAACCAGGTTCCGTCCAACTAGGCCCTTCTTCTGCAGCACTGCCTTCAGTCAAGCCTGAGTGGGGGGGAGTTGGGCTGGGTGTGAGCGGAATTCAAGATGAGTGGAAGATACATCAGAATCTAGTTTTTCCTGAGGACTTTTTGAATTCCAGATCTTGGATGCAGTAGGCAGGTTAGGTGTAGGCCCAGCCGTAGGATCCAGTTAGTCGTCCAATCCTGTGTGACTAAGTTCGAATCCCGGTTCTAGGGTCGTACCCTAGTCGTAGTCCGCTGTTGTTTCTTCTAGTCCATTTCTTTAGCATAGGGACGCCTCTTGTGACAGAGCGTCAGTGCTTATCCCACGATCATGCTGGGAGACAGAAGGTGGGTGAAGATTCGCGGTTTCAGCTGATGCCGGTAAAGTTATAACGAATTAAGGAGACTAAAATCCTGTTGCATGGCGTATGTTTGCAGAGGAGCACCATCCCGGAGGGGAATGACCGTGCTCGGGAAGATTCCTGCCGTTCCAAAACCAATCAACCTTCCCAGTCAAAAGTACGAATCTAGTTTATCGTTTTCCCGCCTTTCATCGTCCCTCCTGCTTTCGGATCTGACGGGTTTTCTGGTTCTACGTCGCAGGCTTGAGAACAAAGGACTAGACCCATCGGTTGCTCTTGTCCCAAGGTAACCCACAACCTCTGAACCATTTTTATGGCTATTTCTTTCGCAGTCTCTTCTTCTCTAGGTCTTGCGTGCCTATTTCCCTTCTTATTGCATTCATTTGTTTTCTTCCGTGGATTGTTTTCCAGAGGAAGTCTTACATGGGGGTCCAACAAGCCCACTGCTCCCTCAGCCTGGGCCGTCCCTGAACCCGCTCCACCCGCTCCTCCTTCCGCGTGGAAACCTCCTGGCGCAGATCAATCCCCACCACCTCCTTCCGTCCCCAGTTGGCCTCAGCCCAATGGAAACCCTTCCCCAGTCAACCGATCCCCTGTCCCTCCGTATCCTCCGGGGCCCTCATCTCAAGGACCCCCTGGTTCCGGACCGCCAGGTCTGGGGCCTCCAGGTCCGGGAGCGTTTCCGAGCCTGACTTCTGACCGTGGGAGCCCCGTGCCTGGTGGTCCAGATTCGTCGTATCAGCATCCGCCGCAGCGGTCCCCGCACCACGAGGGGGAGCCTGGCGCCTCAGGGTACCCGCAGTGGGGGGGACAGGGGCCAGGGGGCCCGCGCGAAGGCCCGCGAGGGGGGCCGTACGGGGGGACGCCGCCAGGCGGTTCGCTGCGGAGCTCGCCTAACCCCTCTGCGTGGTCGACCTCCACCGTGCGTCCCTTTCCCTGGCCCTTTCCCCTCTCGTCCCTCTCCTCGTCCCTCTCCTCGTCCCGCTTCTCGTCCCTCTCCTCGTCCCGCTTCTCGTCCCTCTCCTCGTCCCGCTTCTCGTCCCTCTCCTCGTCCCGCTTCTCGTCCCTCTCCTCGTCCCGCTTCTCGTCCCTCTCCTCGTCCCGCTTCTCGTCCCTCTCCCTCTATCGTCCTTCTCCCTGTCCCGATCCTCGTCCCTCTCTCCCCGTCCCTCCCTCGACCCTCACCTGCATCGCTCCCCGTGTCCCTCTCCTGCGTCCCTCTTCCGAGTCGTTCGCCGGTTCGTCTCCTTCTCGTCGAACCCCCTCCTTCAAATCCATGTCCCTGATTTCTCGGGTCTTAATCCGGTCGCGCTCCGCCCCACTGGACCTCCACGCCCTTTTCTCTTCCGTATTCCGTTGTCTTTCCTCCGCTTGTGTATCAATCCTGTTCGTTGATCCAGGACCGTCATGGCGAATCGGACGGCAAAGGAGGGCAGTTCCATCTGTCGGCGGGAGATTTTCCATCGCTGGGGTCCGAACAGGCCAAGCAGCAGCAGTTGCAGCAGCAACAGCAGGAGCAGCAGGGGCAGCAAGGCCAACAGCAGCAGCAGCAGCAGCAGCAGCAGCAGCAGCAGCAAGAGGGCTCGCGTCATCCTAGTGAGCAGGACGGCGCGGGGTATTACCGAGGGAGGGACGACGGGCAGGAGCACGGAGAGCACGGGCAGCGTGGTGAAGGTGCGTGTTCCTTTGGAAGGGGTTTGATGGGAGGGGGTTTGTGGGCAGTGGGAAGGGTTGAGGGGGAGGGGTTTGATGGGAGGGGGTTTGTGGGCACTGGGAAGGGTTGAGGGGATGGGCGGGGCAGGGAGGGGTTAATGTCTAGCTGCAAGTGAACCAGTGAACCTGTCACAACGTGCGTGAAAGTCATGAAGTTTTCATGCATACGAACGAAGCTATAACGCGGAAACATGAAGACTTTCAGCCTTGCGTATGGTTATTTTTAGAAGTTCGGGAATGAACCTTGACGTGCTGAGACGCGGCTTTTTTCACTGTTGTGTGTCGCATGCTGATCGTCCTGTTTGCCTGCGCGCAGGGCCCATGGGATGGGACCAGGGCATGGGGCGCAGGCCTGGCGCGGGGCCGGAGCAGATGATGCCTGCGCGCTGGCATCCGCACCCCCCCGGCGCTGGGGGCGCGGGCTTTGAGGACCCCCCCCCGCACGGCCTCTGGCCCGCGCACAGGGCGGACCGTATGCCTCCCCCTCCTGGGGACACATGGCACCGCGGCGGCCCTGATGGTGACACGTGGCGTCATGGATCTGGTGGGAGCGGTGGGGACGGGGGTGGCGGAGGTGGAGGCGGAGGAGCGGGGGCGTCGTGGCGGAGGGGTGAGGTTGGTGTTGGGAGGTCCCCGCCTCCGCCGGGTGCGGGCGCGGGGGCGGAGATGTGGCGGGAGAGGGGTCCGGAGAGTGAGAACTGGCGCGCGGGGGGACCAGCAGGAACAGGACCAGGCGCGGGTGGCGCAGCAGGAGGGGGAGGGCCGGGGGAGAACTGGCGGGGGCCGCCAGGGATGGCCCCGCCAATGGGGTATGGGCGTGGCGGGGGACACCCAATGTACCGCGGACCAGAAGGCCCGGAGTTCGGATTTGCGCACGGGGCGGGGCGCGGGGGGCCTCCGCCTGGGGCAATGTACGACGGGCCCATGCGCCCGGGGATGTTGCCCCCGCACGGCTACGGCATGCACATGGATCCGCGGGGAGGGGGGAGGTTTGGCGCGCGGTATGGCCCTGGGCATGGGCCGGGCGCGGGGATTCCCCATGGTCCGCAAGGGAGAGGCGCAGGTCCGCAGTTTGACATGCCCCCCGGAATGTTCCCCCCTCCGCCGCCGTTTGACCACTTCCATGCGCCGCTGGGGCAGGGCCGCCCGCCTTTCCGGCCCATGGGCGCGCACGAGTTTATGGGCGCGGGGCGGGGAGGCCCGCAAGGGTTTGACGGGCGCGGGGGCATGGCGCGGGAGCATGCGGGGCGCGGGCATGGCCGTCCGCCCATGGAGCCGTACGGTCCGCGCGGGGAAATTGGCGCAGGGGATGGATGGCAGGGGCAGCTATCTGCGGGGGGGGCGGCGGACGAGGGGAAGCGGAGGGGAGGGGAATCCGGAGAGGCACAAGAAGGTAGTGAGGGACAGCGGAAGGTGCAGGAGCAGTCTCAGCAGCAGCAGCAGGAGCAGCAGTCACAGTCGCAGCAGCAACAGCAGCAGCAGCATCAGTCACAATCGCATCGACCATACCACAAGGATCACCACATTGGGATCGACTGGGCTTCAGCAGAAAGTGAAACCATGGATTTCTCAAAACCCGCTTTTGAGGATGACCCGTTTCTGGGTAGAGCACCTGAGGGGACCCCGCGCGGGGCAGATGGCGGGAAGGGGGAGCAGGGGGGTCGGGAAACTGGGCGGGGCGCGGAAAGCGCTGGAAGAACGCAGCCGGAGCAGGTGCGCATTCTGAAGCGGCCGGAAGGAGGGGCGCCCGGCGGAGAGGCTGTGGCGCAAGGGGTTAGTGCGGGCAGTGGGATTGCAGGTGTGGCTGCGCAGGTCGCATCTGGGCAGGTCGCATCTGGGCCGGTGCCATCTGCGCAGGCAGCAGCAGGTGGGCATGTAGCGGGTGTGACCGGTCCGAGCGCAGGGCTGGGGAGGGAGGTCCTCGTTAAGAGCCCGCGGCCGTTCAGCCGAGGCCCCCTGCGGTCGCCGCGGGAGGTACCTCAAAGGAGGGCCTCTCCCGCTCCTGATCCCAGTGCCGCACCTGGTTCCGCGCCTGCTGGTTCCGCGGCTGCCGCATCTGGTTCCGCGCCTGCTGCCGCGCCTGCCATGGGCCCTTCTGCTGGTACTGCGGCGCCTAGTGGCAGTGCTGGTGAGGGAGGTTCCGCGGCGGGGGCAGGGCAGACAGTGGCAGTAAAGCCGATCCATGCAGGTCCGCAGGCGGCGAGTACAGCGCCTCTGCAAGCGCAGGGAGCATCTGCGGAAGGTTCACAGGGGGATGCGCAAGAAGCATCTCGAGTGGCGCAAGCGGCGGGATCAGTGCCGATAGCAGGGGCTGCACGAGCTGATACGAACGTTGCCGCCGCCGCCGCAGCAGCCGCTGCTGCTACTGCTGTTGCTGCTTCTGCCGCTGCTGCTGCAGCGGCAGCGGCTGGAGCGTCTACTCCTCAGCAGCAGCCGGAGGCTTTGCCAGCTGCTGCTGCTGCAGGTGTGCCCGTTTCCCCACGCCCGTCAGTCTCAGCACCCGCGCCAGGCGCGCAGGAACAGGGTCCGGGGAGTGGAATTGCTGCCGCTGGCGGAGCTGGGGCGGGACGGGGCCGCGGGCGCGGAAGAGAGCAAGGCAGGCTGAGGGGGGCGGGGGAGGCGGACGGGCGGTGGATCCCCGCGCGGCAGCAGGGGGAGGCTCAGGGCAGGGGGGATGGGGGCGCGGGCAGAGGAATGGGCGGAAGGGAGGGGCCTGTGCAGGGCCGGAGGGGGGCGGTTGGTAGAGTGGCGGAGAGGGAAGAGCAGGGGCAGCAGAGAGGGGGGACAGGGCAGGTCGGGCAGGTGGGTACCGGGGCGAGTATGGCAGGTGGCATGCCAGGGCAGGGATTTGGGCCGGAAGCTTCGAATGCAGGGGCAGCTGCTGGCTCTGCTGCGTCAGGCATAGCACAGAAATCTACGGAAGGATCAGTGGGAGGTGTGACAGGAGGAGGAGCAGCAGTGGCAGCAGCAGGCGCAGGTGGAAACGCAGGTGGAAACGTCAAAGCGGAGCCACTACTCCCCGCGCCTACGTCCGTTCCGCGGATCATCATGGGCCCCCCAATCCCCCAGTTCCTCGCCCCTGTCGGGCCTCCCCACGGGATGCGCCATCCGCAGTTCTTCCCCCACCCGCCCTTCCCCATGCAGCACAACCTTCCGCCTAACCTTCCGCCCAACATGCCCCCTAACGCTCCCCCTGGCGCGCGCCCCCCGTCGTTACTCCCCGGACAGCAGGTGCTGCCGCTGCACCTGCTTCCGCCAGGCCATGCGCCCCCGCACCAACCTCCCCCAGGCGCGCATCCGCACGCCCATCCCCATGCGCCCCCGCTCCCCCAGCAGCACGCGCAAGGCTCCAAAGACAGCCTGCTTGCGCTACCCGCGGGAGGGCCCGCCGGTTTCCTCGCGGGGATGCCTGCGCCAGGGGCGTGGGGGGCCCCTGGGGCACCGGGGGGACATGGGGGACCGGGGGGATCAGGGGAAGGAGCAGCTGGGGGCCAGGTAGCACCTGGACAGGCGGTATCTGTGAATGAGAGGGCCAAGGGAGGGGCTGGGACGGGATGGGGCGGGGAGATGGCAGGACAAGGCGGGGCAGGGAGAGGAGCAGCAGAAGGAGTGGGAAGCGGTGGAGTGGTGTCTAGTGTAGGATATGTGGAGGCAGGAGGCGTGGGGTCTGTTGGAAGCTCAAGAAAAGAAGGTGAGAAAGGGGAATTCAGTGGAGGATATTCGTCTTAGTAAGCATGTGCATTGAAGGAAACATGATGCATAAGAAAGCACGTGCATTGAAGTAGCATGAGAAGCACAGCGTTTGGATTGAGAACAAGTGGTTCCGACACAAGAAGCACTCCACTCTGGGGCTCTCGTTTCTCAATCTCCCAACTCCTTTCTCATCCCCCCACCCCTTTCTCGTTCCCCCATCCCATTCTCGTTTCCCCACTCACACTGTTAAAAAAATATCTTATTGCTTCACCCTTTGTCTTTTCCCCTATTCGTCACCTGCAGTGGTATCCACTCTCCCTCAGCAGCACACAGTGCTGCATCCAGCACCAGCATCAGTTGCCGAACCACATGCGCCTTACGGGCCTCATTCCGGGCCTCATTCCGGGCCTCCACCCCCCACTGCTGCTATCTCGGTTACCGGACCTGCTGCCCCTGCTCTCGTACCTAATGACGCGAGTGCAGGAGATAAGGGGGAGGTTGGGGAAGGAGCAGGTGGGGGGAGTAGAGGGAGGGGGAGGAAGCGGGGAGGGCAGAGGAGGAAGGGCGGAAGGGGGAAGGGAGGGGCGGAAGGTGACGTGGGGGGAGGAGAGGGGGCGGTTGAGGGAGATGCGCCTGGTGTTGTTTCTGGGGGTGGTGGGAGTGCTGTTGGGGGTGGTGGTGGAGTATTGGGAGGAGGAGGTAGTGCTGGGGGGAATCATTTTGGTGTGTCGCAGCAGCAGCAGGTGCAGCAGCAGCAGCAACAGCAGCACCAGGTGCAGCAGCAGCAGCAACAGCAGCACCAGGTGCAGCAGCAGCTGCAGCAACAGCAGCAGCAGCAGCAGCAGCAGCAGCAGCAGCAGCAGCAGCAGCAGCAGCAGCAGCAGCAGCAGCAGCAGCAGCAGCAGCAGCAGCAGCAGCAGCAGCAGCAGCAGCAGCAGCAGCAGCAGCAGCAGCAGCAGCAGCAGCAGCAGCAGCAGCAGCAGCAGCAGCAGCAGCAGCAGGTGGCGCAGCAACAGGTGCAGAGTTCAGGACACGGGCAGGAACAGGGGCAAGGGCTAGGCCAGGGGCAGGGACCGGGGCCGCGGCAGCAGAGGGGTGTGCGGGCACAGGGGCAACAACCGCAGCAAGGGCAGCACGGGCAGCAGCATGGGCAGCAGGAGAAGGGGCGGTCAGAGAGCGACCAGCAGAAGTCTGCAGCAGCCGCTGCTGCTGCTGCCGCTGCTGCCAAGGTAGCCCTCTCGGGCATGCGAGGGGGAGCTGCGGCAGGGAGGGAGGTCAGGGAGGGAGGGGGTGGCGTTGGTGGTGCAGGAGCGGGCGAGGGGCCGGCAGGGGCTGTGGCAGCAGGGGGCGCGGGAGCAGCAGGGAGTGTGGGAGCAGGAGTAGTGAGTGCAGGAGCGGGTGTTGGAGGGTCAGGTGTAGGAATCCCCGCTGGTGGAAACACAGTGGGTGGGGCAGCAGCAGGTGGGGCAGCTGCGGGTGGGGCGCCAGTGGGTGGGGCAGCAACGGCTGGGCAGGTGACAAGGGAGCTGGGTGGACAGCGGGGAGCATGGCAGGGAGCGCCTGGCAGCGTCGCTGCTATAGTGAGTGGGGGCCCTGCTGCTGCCACACCCGCTGCACCAGCATCAGCAGCAGCAGCAGCCGCACAGGGAGCAGCAGGAGCTACAGCAGCAGTGGCAGCGGCGGCAGTGGCGGCAGCAGCAGTGGCAAGCTCACAGGGGGGTCATGCCGCAGTGGTAGGCGGGATGGGTCCTCCTGGTATGCTTATGAACGCATGGGGGCGGCCAAGAGAGGGGCTGATTCACATCACCCCTCCTGCTGGGCACACGGGGGGTATGCAGATGCCCATGCCCATGCCCATGCCCATGCCCATGCCCATGCACGTGCCAATGCATATGCACTTGGGTATGGCAATGCATATGCCGTTGGGTTTCGCGTCGCAGCATCTGCAGCAGCAGCAGCAGCAGTTACAGCAGCAACAGCAACTGCAGCAACAGCAACTGCAGCAACAGCAGCAACAGTTGCAGCTGCAGCAGCAGCAGCAGCAGCAACAGCAACTGCAGCAGCAACAGCAACTGCAACAACAGCAGCAGCAGGTGCAGCAGCAGCAGCAGCAGCAGCAACCACCGCAGCAACCGACTCCCATGACCACGTCAGCACCAGCAACTGCAGGAACTGTAGTGGCACCATCACCCCCAGCAGCAGCAGCAGCAGCAGCATCTCAGCCCGCCCAAGCTCCTCCGCTGCTCACCCCTTCTCCACCCTCAGCTGCCGCCACATCAGCTCCTGCCAGCTCAGCTCCAGTCCAGGCTGGCTGGTCCACGTCAGCTGCTCCTGCCCGCCAGCGGCGTGCTGAGATGGAGAGGTACGTCCCCAAGGGAGCTTCCAAGGCTGCATCCGCTGCCACCGCTCCTGCTGGTGGTGCTGGTGGTGCTTGTGATGGTAGTGCTGGTGGTGCCTCTAGCGCTGGTGCTGCTGCTGCCAATGGGTCTTTTCTAGCTGCGAATCCTGCTACTGGTGCTCCTGCTGGTACCGCTGGCACTGCTGCTACCTCCACGCCTTCCTCTGCCCCCTCCGTTCCTGCCGCTGCTGACTCGAGCGCCAGCACTGCTGCTTCTGCTTCTGGTGCTGTAGCTGGGTCCTCTGGGTCCAAGGGGCAGAGGGCCGGTGCTGGTGGGGACGCTGGGAAGCAGGCAGGAGGAGCAGGAGGAGGAGGAGGAGGAATAGGAGGAGCAGGAGGAGGAGGTGCAAAGGGTGACGGATTGCAAGGAAAGGGAGGAGCAAGGGGAGGAGGGCGTGGGGGCGGGAGAGGGGGGCGGGGGGGTGGCGGAGGCGCGGAAGGTTCCGCAGCAGGAGGGGGAGGGGGCGGAGGATCAGCAGGAGCAGGAGAATCGGGGGGTAGAGGAGGAGCAGGTGCAGCAGGAGGGGGAGGAGGAGGAGGGGGGAAGGGCACTGGAGGACGCGTGGAGGGGGGAGGCAGTGCTGCTGGGGGGTCAGGGAGTGGAGCAGCGGGCATGGGGGGGCAAGGAGGGGGTGGGCGGAGGCATGGGGGAAGGCGAGGAGGGTCAGGGGGGAGGGGAACTAGTCAGGGAGGAAGTAATGGAGGGGAGGTGGGTGGGGGTGGGGGAATCGGAAGTAAGGTAGATTCAGGAAAGGGTGCAACCAGTTGGGCTGCTGCTGCTGCTGCTGCTGCATCTGGTCCTGCTCCCCCTCGTCCATCCTCTTCAGGTGCTCCTTCAGGTGCTCCTTCGGGTTTCCCTTCAGGCGCCCCTTCTGCAGCTGCGTCTGCATCCTCTGGTGGCAGTGTGAGTGGAGCGAGTGGGGTGAGCAAAGGTATCACTGCTTCTGCTGCACCGGGCACATCAACTGCTGGGAGGAAGGCAGAGCCTGGTGCTGGTGGGGTGGCAGGTGGCGTGAAGGCAACTGGATGGGGCAGTGCGGGTCCAACTGGGGTGCCCACTGGTGTGAAAGCAACTGCAGCGCTGCAGCCAGCTGCTGCGGCAACAGCAGCTGTTGCATCATCTGCCAAGCCTGTCACCCAGCCTAGACCAGGCTCGGCCGGTCCTGGCCCTGCTCCTCCTGGCTCGGCAGCAGCTAGTACTGCCGGGCCTGTTATTCCCGCTGGTGGGTCTGGTGTGAGCAGCACAAGTGCTGGAGCCGCGGCTGCTGTTGCTGTTACTGCTGCGGCTGCTGCCGCTGCTGCTGCTGCTTCTGGTGCTGCCTCCTCGTCAGCTTCTGTCTCGGCTCGCATTCGCGATGCGCCTTTGCAAGGGGGGGTGGGAATGGGGAGGGGTGTGAGGGGCGGGATTGTCTGGGGCGGGCGTGGCAGAGGCTCGGTGGGAGGCTTGGGAGGTGGTCCGGGAGGAGGTCCGGGTGTACCAGCGAGAGGTTCGGAACGGCCTCGGGAGGTGATTAATGCAACGGGAGGGGCGCTGCCTCGGTCTCTCAGACAGGATGGGGGAGCGGGGGGCCTTGGGGGAGTTGCTGGAAAAGGGGGAGCTGGCAAGGGTTGATCTCTGCTGAGCTGGAAATTAGGAGGATTTTTGGCACATTGCAGGTGAGCGTGGGTTTCTGGTGTTGTCTATGCAACTGCAGGGGAATTGGGGAATTGTTGCTTCTGCTGCTGCTGCATGTTTGAGGGCCAGCAGTGAGTCTGGGTTGCAAAACGTTCAACAGGTGGCTGTACACCTTTGTCCCTGGAGTGTTTTTGCTTTTGTTATTGTTTTCCGGTAATTCGCCTTTGTAATGCCTTCATTGCCTGCTTATTTTGTCATGCATGCAGATATATTTGATGTCTCAGAAAGGCGACGATCGTCAAATTCGTTCACAGACGCAGGGACCGGAGGAGGCGCTGTAGTCAGTGTGTACAAACTCGACCCTGGCCGACGGGTGAACGTGGCCAGGTGGCGGCCCGTCCGAGAGCAAGTGCAGTGGGTCACACGCTGACCTCCAGGGGTGAACTGGTCAACCCACGCGTCCTGGAGGTCAGCTCCACTCACCAAGTTCGTAGAGAACGAGGGGAGGTGGAGTCCCGACAGCAAGCCCGACGGGGCCGCAGGACACGGTAGAACCGTGGAGGAGTGTGCAAGGACTGGGCCCCCGGAGGGGTCAGCAAGGGAGACCGCAACAGGCCGACTGAGCGGCGTGAGCGTGGTGCTGTCTCTAAAGAAAGAGCGCGAAGCACCAGAGTCAAGTGTGAAGGTGTGAAAGGACTCAGTAGGTGCAGTACCAGAGGGAGGAGACGTACCAGCACCTGGAGCAGCAGACGCACTAGCACCTAGAGCAGCAGCCGCACTAGCACCTAGAGCAGCAGCCACAGTGCCCGGGTCGGGCGGGACACGCGGGTAACAGTCACCCTCAGTAATATCAGCAAAAGCATACATGGCAGCAAGGATAGCATCAAAGTCTAGATCAAAGATAGGCACATTCTGCAGAAGCAGATCATGCCAACGAGGAAGCTCAACAGCGTCAGGAAACTGGGCACGCCAAGCGTCAGTCAAGCGGCCGAAGTAGCGCTGCGTGGTGTGTGGGAGACCACACACCTCCCCACTCCGAGTGCCGGTGTGTGTGGCACATTCTGAAGAACGTAAGAGCAGGGACCCGCACCCCCAGACCTCCCACGCCCAGCGTACCACTCACGAAGCTGCTGAACCGATGGGGTCTCACGGGTGCGCTGCTGCTGCTGGCGCTGGCTGCCACCAAGGCCTCCACGCGGTGTAGCTGCACCGCGACCAGCACCACCTCCTCCGCTACCTCCACCACCGCTGCCGCCGCCTCCACCCCCTCCGCCACCGCCGCCACGGCCTCCACTGCCGCCACCGACTCCCCCACTCCCTGTACCACCCCCACCACCACCTCCACCTCCTCCACTGCCTACACCGCTGCCCCCACCGCCCCCTCCACCACCCTTGCTTCCCTTGCCCTTGCCGGTGCGGCGTCGCCCACTAGAGGCAGACGCAGCGCCGACCTCCTCAGTGCCAACGAGGTCGACAGCAGCAGCAGAGGCAACAGAGGGGAGAAGGGGGACAGGGGAACACCCCTCAAAGAAGGGGGTGCGACGGTCGCCGCGAGAAGCACCTACAGCTAAGATACTCTTCTCAGCTGCAGCAAGGCACTCCTCTAGCAAGTCGACAGTCAGCTCGGTGGGGCAAAGGGAGAGGAAGTGATCCCTGACTGAGGAGAGAGAGTCAGGGAGGTGGGTGACTAGGTAGTAAAGGGTGATGTACATGGGGGGGGAGTTCGTGGGAAGAAACTCAGTGGGAAGGGCAGCGCGGTAGCGAGCGTCACTAGTGCGGAGGTGAGCAACGAGGTCAGCAACTATGGCAAAGGCGGCAAGGTCAGGAAAAAGGTACGGCAGCATGAGGCGGCTGAGGGCAGCAGTGGTAGGGGAGGAGTAGCGTGCAACTACAGCGTCGTACAGAGCCCTAGCACTCTTGTACTGACTAAAGTGCGCGCGCTCAATAGACGGCAGGTGATTGCGCACAGCAAGACGAGCAGCAGCATCGCGCGTGAGCCACTGCGAGCGAACAGTACTGTCAGCATCAGCAGTAGGGGCAGTAGAGGCGCCAGACGTGAGATCGAACAGTGAGAAACCATCCTTGCTATCGCACTGTAGGAAAAGCTGCAGATCATCTAGCCAGACCTCAAAGTCAACAGCTCGACCCTCAGCATCAAAGGTAAGAACATTGAGACTAGCCATGACAGGAGAAGCAGCAGGCTAGCAGCAGCAGCAGCAGTGCAACTCGGCTAAGCAGGCTAGGCAGGGCGGCGCAGCTCGGCAGGGCGGTGTGGCTCAGCAGAGCGGCGCTCTTACCAGGGGAGAGGCTGGGGCAGGGCCGGGGTAGGGCCGGGGCAGTTCAGGAGCAGGGCCGGGGCAGGGCCGGGGCAGGGTCGGGGCAGGGCCGGGGCAGGGCCGGGGCAGAGCCGGGCCAGGGCCGGGGCAGTTCAGGGGCAGGGCCGGGGCAGGGCCGGGGCAGAGCCGGGCCAGGGCCGGGGCAGTTCAGGGGCAGGGCCGGGGCAGCTGAGGAGCAGGGCCGGGGCAGTTCAGGAGCAGGGCCGGGGCAGGGCCGGGGCAGGGCCGGGGCAGAGCCGGGGCAGGGCCGGGGCAGGGCCGGGGTAGAGCCGGGCCAGGGCCGGGGCAGTTCAGGGGCAGGGCCGGGGCAGAGCCGAGGCAGAGCCGGGGCAGGGCCGGGGCAGGGCAGGGGCAGGGCTTGGGCAGGTCCGGGGCAGGGTCGGAGCAGGGCCGGGACAGGGTCGGGGCCGGGCCTAGACAGGGTCGGGGCGAGGGCAGAGGTCAATAGGGCCGCAGCTGAGCCGGCGCAGGGCCGCGACAGGTTGGGGTAGGGCCGGGGCAGGGCCGGACGGGGCCTAACTGGGCCTGACGGGGCCTGACGGGGCCACTAACGGGGCCTGACGGGGCCGTACGGGGCCTTATGGGGCCGAACGGGGCCTTAAACGGGGCCTGAAGGGGCCTTACGGGGCCTTAAACGGGGCCTGACGGGGCCTTACGAGGCCTGACGGGGCCTTACGGGGCCTTAAACGGGGCCGTAAACGGGGCCATACGGGGCCTTACGGGGCCTTAAGGCGCCTTACAGGGCCTTAAGGGGCCTTACGGGGCCTTAAGGGGCCTTACGAGGCCTTAAACGGGGCCTTACGAGGCCTTAAACGGGGCCGTACGGGGCCGTAAACGGGGCCTTACGGGGCCTTAAACGGGGCCTTTCGGGGCCTTAAACGGGGCCTTACGGGGCCGTAAACGGGGCCCTACGGGGCCTTACGGGGCCTTACGGGGCCTTACGGGGCCTTAAAAGGGGCGTTACGGGGCCTTACGGGACCTTACGGGGCCTTACGGGGCCTTTAAACGGGGCCGTGAACGGGGCCTTAAGGTGCCTTACGGGGCCTAACGGGGCGGGCGCTGGCTCTAAGGGCAGGCGCAGGGGCCGCGATGGGCCTCGAAGGGAAGGCGCGACGCGCGCGTTTAGCAGGCAGTGAAGAATTTCAGTGGTGGGCCCTTTTTAAAATTCTCGAAACTAGCTCTATACCATGTGAGAATGATAGACGAAAGAATGAATGAACTAGAAATGAGATGGGTACAAATAGAAAACACATAAGTGTTGTACCCTCTAAGAGCTACCCCACTACAGCCTAAATAGACCATAGCAGATATAAGTTTGACAGTAACGCAGTACCCTCTTCGCAGCATCCCAGTGCACCTTTCGGTGCTTGCCGGGAGCCACGTAGCGAGCCACGATGCTGAGAGGGTACGCGAGGTCGGGTCGTGTGCACGTCATCAGGTACATGAGGCAACCCACAAGCTCTGGGTACGGACCACTCGGCTCTACGGACTCATCCGAAGGTGGAGCTGAGAGCGAGTGGCTGGTAGACAGAGGAGTGGGCTGTGGCGAGGAGAACTGGAAGCCGAAGCGCTGAAGGACCTGGTGCACCATGTGTGACTGAGTCAGGGTGATGGTGCGCCGTGCTCTATCCCGGGTGATCTGCAAGCCAAGATAGCTGCGCAGTTCACCCAGGTCAGTGCAGGTGTGTCTCTTCTGCAGCTCGGACTTCACAAGGGTCAGTGCCTCAGTGTCAGCTGTGGCAAAGACGAGGTCATCGACGTACACGAGGACGTAGAACGGCGGCCGCGACGTGTCGGTGCGTAGAAACAACGACGGGTCAGTAGTAGCAGGAGCAAACCCAAGAGCCGCAAGTGTAGTCCTCAATGTTTCGTGCCACTCGCGAGGCGCCTGGCGGAGACCGTAGACTGGTCGCCGAAGACTCCACTGAGTACTTGCAGGAAAAGACTCAGTGAAGCCAGGTGGGCGGCGCAGCCAGATCTCCTCGTGCAGGCTGCCCTGCAGGAAAGCTGTGCTGAAGTCCAGAGAGTGCAACTCGTAGTCATGCTGAGCACCGACGTGTAGCAACACCCGAAGAGTAGTCATCTTCGGGGTGGGGGAGGAGGTCTGGAAGTAGTCAACTCCCTGTCGCTGACTGAAGCCTCGAGCAACGTAACGCGCCTTGAAGGCAGGCGGAGAGCCCGGCGGCTGCTTCACCCTGAAGATCCACATGCCATCGACTATGTTCGCCCCAGGTGGGGGAACCTCGTCGACGTAGGTGCCTGTGGACTTTCAGGATGCCATCTCGGCATCCATGGCTACCTGCCACTGAGAGGAGTAAGGACCCGTAATCGCCTGTGCGTAAGAGCGTGGGGTCGGGATGTCTGGTGCATCCGGGTCTCCCTCAGAGGCAAGCAGCATGGAAGCGAAACAAGATACAGCAGCTGCAAGACACTCAAAGTCCTCCTGCCTGTCCTCAAGGACGTCCGTGCCAAGAGCACACTCACCCCCGACGGAGGGAGGACTGGTAGACGCAGACTCAGCAACTAGAGCAGTGGCGTAGTCCAGACGGCAGGCAGCAGCAAAGTCAAGCAGCTCAGCAACGAGAGCAGACGCAGCAGCAGACTCAAAAGAAGGGTCTATGACAGCAGTGGCGAGGAGACGAGAGACAGTGGGACTGGCAG